CTCTGCTCCGGCGCCAGGGTCTCCTCCTGTAACATGGACACGAGGCCGAGGATGGAGTGAATCGGGCGACGCATCCCCTGGCTCATCACGCCCTGGAACGCCTGCCTCGCCTCGTTCGCCATGAGCGCGCACGTCCCGCCGCGCCTGCAGCAGCTCACGGTTCTGCTCCGCCAGCCAGTCGCGCATCGCCCGCGACTCCTCTAGCAACGTCGCGTGCGACAGCACGATGGCTACTTGGCCGGGGACCACCTCGACGATCTCCATCTCGTGCTGTCCCTAGCTCTTGCCGCTTGGGGGCACGAGCACCAGCATGGCGTAGCTCGTCTGGATCACCTCCGGCGTCCCGCCCTTGAAGTCGGCCACCTTCAGCATCAACATCCGAATCGCCGCCACCACACCGGTGCCCTGCTGCTTGCCGCCACTCGCCTTGGCGAGCACCGAGTCTGGCCCGAGCAGCTTGACGTCGTCGCTCCCCCGCAGCTCGACGACGTCTGCGTCGTCAACGCCGACGACCTCAACGCAATCGTCGCCACCACCCCGCCGGAGCTCGTGCGTCAAGCACATTTCGCCGAAGGCGGGCATCCAGACGGCGCAGTTGGTGAGACCGAGCACCCTGGAGAGCTTGATGAGGGTGGTGTAGAGCACGGTGTGGTGGTCGAGCGACTTACGGATCTCGTGGGTGAGCTGCGGGATGAGGGTGAGCAGCGTGATGGCGGCGAGGAAGGAGACGAGCGCCATCAAGAACTTGGCCGATGTGAGGAGGAGCACCACCATGAACTCGCTCTAAGCTCCGCCGCCCCGAGCTCCCTTCGCCACCCTGTCCTCCCGCCGTCCCCTCCTCCAGCCGCCCTGAACTCCGTCCTCCCCAGCGGCGGAAGAGGTGAGGCGCCAGTGGCGGCGAGGCGGTTGGCGGGCGGACGACGTCGCCGCCTCGCCTCGCGCCGCCAGTCGCCACCTAGCCGCGCTCGCCGCCGCCGCTCGAGCCTGCCCCCTACGCCGCCCTGCCTCGGCGCCGCTGCCGCCTCGCCTCCTCCGCCATTGATGGAGAAGAGAGAGAGAGAGAGTGAAAGATTGGGAAGGAGATAGAAAAGAGAGAAACTGACAGGTGGGGCCCACCTATTTTTTTTATAAATGAATTGCTGACTGGAGTGCCACATAGGATTAAAACCACGCGGATTGAGCCCGGGGGGTTATTTGTCCGGTTTACAAAGTTGGGGGGTGAAGAATGTTCAATTTTGTGGTTTAGGGGGGTAATTCGGTCGACCACGATAGTTTGGAGGGGAGGGGGGGATAATTCGTACTTTTTCCTAAATAAAAATATTTATTTGAAATTTTAATAGGACAATGGATTTTTTATCGGGAGCATTCATAAAAAAATTATTGTGAGTATTGGTGTTCATATCTTTGTATGAATGCTCCTCATTTTTTATGACTGTTTTAACAAATAAAAACATATTCTTATTGCATTATCTAAAAAAAAAAATTTATGATAAATAATACATAGCACAAAAACACTCATAACTATAATAGTCTCTGGCGACACGCTTTTATATTTTTAATAATGTAATTCATAAATTTCTATGTTCATCCAAAGGATAAAATGGTCCTTTTTACAGAAATTGGACGGTCAACTGACGGGAGGGGTATGGAAGGGATCAAAATCAAATTTTAGAGGTATACAAGGTGTAGGATCGAACAGTAAGAACTAAACCAACCAGAGGGGGTGCATGGTTTAAGTACCCAAAACCAAAACTTTTAGCGGAATTAAAATTTACCTTCAAATCGATGAAACGCCTTCTAACCTCCTGGAAGCCGCCAGTCTGACCGCCGAAATCTGCTTCCGTCGCTTGTAGCCACCGCCGGTCTAACCGGTACGACGCCGTCGGTCTAACCGCCGGTGTCCCACCGGTTGGACCGCCGAACCCAAGCAAACACAAATCGAAGATCTCTCAAAATAGATGACAACTTTACTACTTCTCTGGGTTTACAAAGTGCAACAACAACACTGAACTGTTGACGAAAAATCCGCGCTCGGCCAATGGTGCCAGGTCTGTGTTGGTGCGAACTAAGTCGACGAACACAACGGCCTAGGAGATCTGCTTAGCTCCAGTGCAGGTCCAAGATATTGATGAGATGCAGGCGTGCCAGTCAATTTGATCCTGCAACTGACAAGATATACAAATAGCAGATCAATGAGCCGATCGGCTGACGAGCCGATCGGCTGACAAGCCGATGGAGTAGTTCCAGCCAATGCCGATACCAGCCGATAGCGCTAGGGGTTTGGACTATCGGCTATAAGTTTGATGTCGAGTCTGACACTTGATGTAAATAAAGACAATCGACTGATGATAATGTAATAAAACAATATAATCCAATAGAAACCAATCGGCTAACAACGTGATAGAATAAGTAGGATCCGAAGGTAATCCAATAGAAGTCCGATGTCATTAAATCCATAAGAATCGATAAACAGTTAAACATTTGTTGCGATCGGCTAATTCCAACTTGTATGCAATCCTTGTAAGCCGATGCAACGTTCAGATAACTCATCGGCTAAAACCTCGATAAAACCCTTATTGGTAATCAAGAAGCAGGCTAGTGATTATGTCCTAAGCACGACTTAGTAGATCAAACTTAACTGATGCAGCACTAAGTATAAAAAGAAACATAATATCTAGACAATCAAGCCTTTGACTGATTTTCAGGGTGGTAGATACCTTAGCCAATTTAATCTGGTAAAGCAATTTAGCCAATACCAGCACAAACCCTAAAACGAATCTTAGCCGATACAAGTAAATTAAACTACCAAACTAGATTAACTAAGATATATGATAAATGGGTAGGCAAATATATTAACCGAACCAAAGCAATCCAAGAGGTCGAATGTACTGATGCAGCTTTGAGCGACGCTGATGAAGCCAACACAATTGCCAGGGCCAGCAGAAGCAGGCTAGTGATTATGTCCTAAGCACGACTTAGTAGATCAAACTTAACTGATGCAGCACTAAGTATAAAAAGAAACATAATATCTAGACAATCAAGCCTTTGACTGATTTTCAGGGTGGTAGATACCTTAGCCAATTTAATCTGGTAAAGCAATTTAGCCAATACCAGCACAAACCCTAAAACGAATCTTAGCCGATACAAGTAAATTAAACTACCAAACTAGATTAACTAAGATATATGATAAATGGGTAGGCAAATATATTAACCGAACCAAAGCAATCCAAGAGGTCGAATGTACTGATGCAGCTTTGAGCGACGCTGATGAAGCCAACACAATTGCCAGGGCCAGCAGAACGTAGGACTTACCCCTTCACCGGAGATCGAACTGAACCAATGCAGCCCTGCGTCAGGTGCCAAGTTCCACCGGAAGATAAGTAATTAAAAACCTCGGTAAAGAGGGTGGCGATGCGCCGAGAGTAGTTGTATTGATTGAGAGATCTATTACAATAACATCGGGTGTACATATTTATACCCATGGGTAGATACTAGTCCTTGTAGGATAAGAAAGAAACTTTCCTAAAAGATAAAAGGAAAACATAAAGTCCTTATAGGACACTAAACACACTTTTCTAAAGATAAAAGGAAACTAACAAATACTGCCTAATTTTTTTTTTGACCGGGAAACAGTGGGGGAAGCCCCCATGGTTAAATTTCATATATAAAAAGCAAAGAAATCTGTACAAGCAAGAAAATTACAAGCCGTCAATCCATGTTTGCAAAATAGGTCTATCAGCTATCCTAAGTCTAAGTAAATGTAGACTTAGCTCCTCCTTGAGATTAGATTTCCATCTCTGAACAGAAGGTAGTATATGCTTAAAGATTAAATCATTCCTTTGCTTCCATAACAGCCAACAAGCCACAAGAAAGATCTCCATAAAGCATGAAAGATGAGGTCTGGCACTCCTGTGAGATTGCAGCATTTGATGAAATTCCTGTGTTGTGTCCCAAGAAAAACCAATTGTGTTCCAGCAAGCAATTGCAAAAGGGCACTGGAAAAATAAATGCTCTCTAGTTTCTCGCAGACCCAGGAAGCATAAAACACAAGTAACAGGAACATTTGGCGGTTTGCAATGTCTTCTTTCCAACAAATCTCTTGTATTAACTCTATCTAGGAACAACAACTAGGCAAAGACTTTAACCTTCATGTATACTTTGCTGGACCAGATCCATGGAAGGGTTACTGCTGGCTGTATGGACCAAAATGATAGCTTATAAAATTTCTGAGAAGAATAAAGATCATTACCCCAGATGTATGCCCATTTATCCACCATGGAGTTCAAAGAGATTTGGGTAATATCCTCCAGGAAAACTTTATATTCCTCATATGCTTGAACTAATAGAGGAAGAAAGAACTGATCATCGACTGACCTTGAATGATGCTGAGCAACTGTGTCCAATTTGTGTTTTGCGAATGAAAAGAGTGTTGGGAAAGAGTGGGCAAAAACCTTTCCATTACACATATCATGCCAAAAATTTACAGAGCATCCATTATAAATGATAGGACGTGCAAATCCTCTAAAGAGAATTTCAAGCTGAGCAATATCTTTCCACAAAAATGATCCACATAAAATTGCGTCCTGAGGAAGCTTGTGAGAATAGTAAGTGTTCCAAATCAAACTCACCCAAGGAATTGTCTGTTTATTAAAAAATTTTGCAAGATGCTTAAGAAGCAGGGCTCTATTTTGTATTCTTAAGTCAATGACCCTAGACCCCCTTTCTTCTTAGGCCTACAGACCTTTCCCCAAGCAGCCAAAGATTTCTTGGTTGAATTAAGATCCTTTCCTCTCCACAAATATTGTCTAATTAATAGATAAACTAACATGCCACATCCTCCTTGAACTCGGTCAGTTTTGGATTAGCTTCCATTAATAGATTAGTTTCCTTAACCGAATTTAGCAGGAATCCGACTATTGGCGACGTGATAATTCTCTTAGGAGCTTACCAAATTTCACTGTTAACACACTCCTCACGAAAATTTCAACTAAACTCGAAAATTAACCAAACTATTCTCTCAACTCAATGCTATCTAAAGCGATTCCGGGAGGCCTCACCTTCCCTCTCTATTTATACATGAGGTGGGCAGCCTAAAGCCACGAAGCAAACTCATACAAGAAGTCCTAATCCACCTAGGAAACCTTCCCGTACAAGAAACCAACTTTACAAATTGTAATTGTACCAAATTTGGACTCCTTCCAAATTCGACTCCGCATCCCATACTCACACAATATCTCCATCGTATGCCATACGGAATCTTCACCAACCACGTGCATTGATCTTTAGCCTAAGTATCTTACACGATATCTGACCGTTCGGATGTCACCTTATGTCCAAGTTGACTCTCGATCCATCACCGGCAATACTCTCCCGAGGTATCAAGACACCTACACAAGAATCAAATAAAGGAACCATATTCCGAGACCAAGCTATCTCCAAATTGATTCATTATTAGCAAACAACAGTATTACATACGCATAGTATCCATCTAGAAGTCATAAACATGAACAATCCACGGATATCCAATGAAACAACCCGAAACCGAAACCAACACAGAGTCGGCCTGTCAGACCGTGGGTTGGGCGGTCAGACCGCTCGATACACGCCGGTCTGACCGGCAACCCTTGCTCAATCTGACCAGACCAACTGTCCATCATCACCTGCAAATGCAATCATCTACAAAACCACTTCGTCAGTAATCGCCAAATATCAAAACCAATAATCTCAGATGCCAATTGTTCATCACAGAATAATAATCAAACACACTTTGATTTTACACAAGTAAGCAAAATTTAAGGGTATAGAAGGGATTAGCTAAAATTTCAGGGTACACAATAGATTTTCTCAATATTATCAGCCCGGAGGGAGTAGGAGGGCCTGCTTTAAAAATGCAAGCATTATTGCCCCTTTCTACATTGGTCCAAAGGGTGGAAATTGATAGAGTTTAAAATGGGGAGGCAGGTGAGGTCAACTCTGGTGGCACCTTCTTTCTTCAGGTGCGTATTCTTTTCATCTTTTGCCATCTTCAGCTGCTAAATTTTCCCTTCCTGTAAATAGTTACCAACTCATCAGTTGACTAATTAAAAGAACTTGTACGATTCGATAAAATAGTAATTTCCAAATTACATGAAACTTGAGGACTGCATATACATTGATATTGTTAATGCCCTTACTTCATGCACGCATGCTATGACTTCATAACTTCGACGCCATAGATAGCAAGCGCGGCTGCAGAAAGCAACACCATGACAGACCAAGCCAGTATGGTCATGGCCGCTTTGGAGGTACCTCCTCTGGCTGACTCTCCCGGTCGCATGGTCAGGTACATGAGCCCAAGGCCCGACGTGAACGCCGAGGTCGATAAGAACATGCAGACCTTAAGGGCCACCATCTTGTCCTTGCTTTTATCATCGTCTCCAAGAAAGCCTCCAAAGATCGCCATGACTATCCCCAGAGACCACGGTGTCGTCTTGCTCGCCATGTCCGCCATCCACTTGAGCTGCGTCTCGTTGTGGCTAGCTCGCACGGCATTCTGCTCTCTGGTGCAGTGCTGGATGACGAATTGGACGGTGGCAGCCAAGGCGAGAGTCAGGAACGCGGCTACCATGTACCACCTGAGGATCCCAAACGACGCGGCGAAGGCGGCGATCGCGAGCAAGGCTAGAAGGGCCGCATTGGCACGCGGGATAGTAGCTCTGACGAAGAACTCCCGGAGCTTCGGTTTCTTGCTCTCCAGGACCTTCATCCACAGCATCATCAGGAGCATGCTTAACATCGAGGTGATGAACATGCACATGATGACGACGTGGACAGAGCCGGAGATGTCGCCGCCGGCGCCTCCACTGCTGCTGCCCCCCTTGTAGACGCCGAAGAGCACGCCGACGAGGCCCGCCAACGACATGGGGACGATGGCCGAGGTGATCTTATAGCTGGACTCCATCGCCTTCTGCTCATCGTCGTCCTCAGGCGCCGTGCCGTTGGTTTCCTGGGTCTTGCGGCTCATTGCATTCTGCTCAACATCCTCAGGTGCCGTGTCGTTGGTTTCCAGCTGGGTCTTGCGGCTCACGTACCAGTGCATGAGGGCCACCGGCACCACGGCCGCCGCGAGGACGCCGAGTCCTACGTAGATGTAAGGCTTGCGCGGCATAACCAGCAGCAGACAAAGTATTGTCAGCACCGGTAGAACGCAGCAAAGATAGAAGAGGCACTTGGAGATGGCGTGGTGGAAGCCAGAGATGTGCTCCTCCCTGGCGCTGAGCCGCTGCATTCTCAGCAACATGAACGTACAGCCACAGACGAAAGATGAGAAGGCGAGGAACATCGAGATGTCGATGTATATGGCTTGCCGCCCCGTCGCTTGCGGGCTGAGGAAGAAGCCGGTCATCGCCACGGAGAAGGAGAAGCCGGCAACAAGTGCCCCTAACTCGATATCCTTCTGGACCTTGCGGAGTTCTACTTGTTCCTCCTTCTCGTTACTCCTCCCCGCTGCAGAAGCGGCCTCCGCACCCTGCAATGTATCGAAAACACTTCGTTTAGTCGAGAGCACTCCATTAAACCTGTGCAAATGATGCACCCGTTAGAGCACTGTACACCAAGAAAGAGAAGAAACCACTTCAAATCATATATCCGTTGCAATCCAGGCGTTGGAGTTATGCCAAACATGTCTTTTTATCACTTTGTTGTAGAAATCAAACTTCAAGTATGAAATACTCCAACTCTCATAACCAAGATTTATTTTTTTTGAAATTTTTTAATTTTTAATTTTAAAAACAAGCTCTTTCAAAACTTATTTTCCAGATCTGAACTTTTGGCCCGCTAGTCGGACTGGTGTGGCAAAACAACATTGTAACGCCGGTCTAACTGGCGTGATATATAGCGTAGCCACGCCACCGGGACAAAACTGTCACGTCCATTGTGTGTGACGTGTCAGTTTTGTTTTGCCGCGCCAGACGGACTGTAGTGGCCAAAAGGTTCATGATGTAGAAATAAGTTTTGGAAGGGTCTATTTTTAAAATTAAAAAGTAAAAAAATAAAAAAAAATCCATATCTGAACACACCCCAACTGTCTAAACCGTTTAAAATACCCTCTAAACAACATAACCCAATATTAATGGTGTTTCTTTATAACACTAGTTTAAATAATATGTTTTTCTTACTCCCTCCATTCCATAATATAAGGCACAGCTACTTTTTAAAGTTGTTTCATAATATAAGACGCGCATGCGGTATTCATGATATTAGCCTGCGCCTCTTTTCCACTAAAATAATATTATTTAAATCCTTCACCATCAAGATCTCTAATTTTATTGGGTGCATGTATTCTATTTATTAGGGTAATTCAAACTATAAGGTGATAATATTTATTTTTTAATCTTTAGGTTAAAGATGGTTGTGCCTTATATTTTGGAAACGGAGGGAGTACATGATAACTATATTTTGCATCCCTCACTAACCAGATGCATGCATGCTATCTCAGCAAAAAGCTAGATGATTCAGATGCCAAACTTTGCCAAAAAATAAAAACAGCGAAGGACCAAGACGATTGCCCTTAATTAAAAGGGCCCTTTCTACTGGTTTTAACATATTACGGAAGTAGATCTCAAATTTCATAATTATTATTATGGATTAATTTTTAAACTGGGGTAATAGTTAATCGGACAAACTGGACAGGCCTACTCTCAAAACTCTCGGCCATCTCTCGTGAAGGACAAGGTCAACAGAGCACTTGACTTAGTTGGGCCAATTTGTCTTGTTCTATTCAAACTTTTGGGTCAGCATGGCTGTGTTTAGATCTAAAGTTTGGATCCAAACTTCAGTCTTTTTCCATCACATTAACCTGTCATACATACACAATTTTTCAGTCACATCATCTCCAATTTCAACCAAAATCCAAACTTTGCGCTGAACTAAACACAGCCCATATGTATGCGTTGAATTTACAAAACCCTAGGCCAAATTGTTAACTACTCCTAAATGAGACAGTTGTGCCGAGTGTGAGTGTGCGGCCTTGTGACCTTGTGTCTACTGGACTACTCACTCTATCCCTGATTGATCATCATCTAAGGTTTTGACATCTTCCCAAAACGAACCATCCTCTAACAAGTGTTTATTTATTTATTTGCACAAAGAGTAAATGAACATCATTGAACGCTGCATGCACCCAACAAAGATTAATTACTATTCGTACAACTATATGCAATATTTAAAACTTGATGTAATCTATGGAATACATAGCAATGTGACACCTTAATTAGAAAATGATGAATGTTTAGTTGTCCTTCGTCTATGACTCTTTGCTTAAATGATGATTAAAATGCATGTGATGAAGAGAGTATAGTTGAGTTGAGGCTATGAAAAGTAGGGTCGTTTTCTTTAGAAAAAATTGTGCACGCTTTTGTATTACCTCATGTGGTGATTACTAGTGTAATTGCCACTGTCCACAGATAATTGAATGTTCAGTTCTAACGTTAACGCGTGATCTCCGTATGTTGACCATGTGGGGGTGATTTATTAAGCTATACAGTCAACTACGAATGCCGGGGCGCACATGAGGCCATTCCCAACCCAAGACACTAGACATATTTTTCATAAACTCCACGTCATCGAGAAACTAGTACTAGACAAATACTACTATTTTATACTTAAATTTAATACTACTTATCTCATATGATGTCTTAGATGCAAGATATGGTTTCCTTCTCTTTTCTCATTTATTCACTTGTCACATCACTTTTCATTTTAGGTGACAGCTTATTTAATACTATGAACATCATTATAGTCAAATAACCTGATGAAGCCATGTCTCCCTCACTTCAGTGTCAACTTTTTGTCCAGATATGTCATCTGGTCAGCTGAATTCCGACATAATTAAAAATTAACCGTCCATTAACCACATGATGATTGATGACAGCTGGTCGACATATTCGCTTGCTGACCATTCCACTCAGCCCTAGATTCCACACCAACCAGCACCAACGTAAGATGAACCAAATCCACATCCAATCTACTTCCTCCGTTTCACAATGTAAGTTATTTTAACATTTTCTACATTCATATTAATGTTAATGAATCTAAATAGATATATATATATATCTAGATTCATTATCTAAATAGATATATATATATATATATAGATTCATTAACATTAATATAAATGTGAGAAATGCTAGAATGACTTACATTGTGAAACGGAGGGAGTAGGTATTATATCCAACCACTAGATTCTACGACACTATCCAAATGCACTCTCTGTCCAAAAAGAAAAAAAGAAAAATCAAACTACCAAAAGTAATTTTTTTCAAAGGGCTGAGGTATGTAAGTACTAGCTAATTAACAACGGTAATTTCCATGGCGAAATCATCATATATATATCATACTTTCACTGGAATATGTCTACTAATCTTTCATACGTACTTTGCTTAATCATCTGTCATACAATCCTACCTCTCGATCGACTGCGATGAGTTCGTTCCGTTTGGAAAGTCAACAATACGAAGACAACGCGGTCGTACACGTAAAACGGCAAGAATTCCGCGGGAAAAATAACAAAAAACTAGACGAAAAATATCCGGCTTACTTGGGCCAGGTCATGAAGGGGTGCGGGCGCCGGCGGGATCGCGACGGCGGCCGGTGCCGCCTCCGCGTCGCCGGGGTTCGGGTGCGGCGGCGAAACCGCGGAGCTTGATGCTGCAAGGAAGCGATCGGGAGTTCGACTAGTATCATATCTTGACCAAGTCGAACACGTCGTAAATCAGGTGAAGAGGAATCGGAAATTTGGAGTCATTGGGCGCCTTGCGGGAGAGGGCTCACCTTCTTGTAGTTCTAGTTCACTAGCAACATCGGTGCGCTGCCGGGAGGACGATGCGCGTCCCTCTCGGCCGCCTCCACTCCGACCTTTGCTTGCCTCGCCGGTCATGGTCGCCGCCGTAATCCAACAACTGCGTGCTGCTGCAGATTCTCGCCTTTGCTCTCTGCAATTACTGAATAAACAACATATCATCTTATATATTAACCGGGAGAGAGAGAGAGTGGAGGGGCTCAAGAACCAACAGCAAAATCTTGTTGTCAGAAAAGAGAACTCGTAATCCAAATTAAAGAACAAATGGGGAATTTGTCAAAAGTATATGTTGGATCCTGTCGGGACCAAAAAGCTCCGCAGCTCCAAGCTTCCAACCTCTAGAATCAACACATCAGAATCGAGAAGATCAAACCGAACGGTTGCTTACACAGACATGCTGAAGATTCAGATTAATTCTAACCAAATCCACCTGATCATGAAAAGATGATATTAGGATCCTTTCTATGCTAAAAAGAAAAGCAGTTACTAGTTTTCAAGGTACTGCATCCAATGGGTAGATCATAAACGAGTTCTAACTTTGGAAAGGAAAACAACATGTAATCAACCAATCCATGAACAAACACATCAGCCACCCCTAGACTGAATTCTAATTAGCTAGCTCAAAGGTCGCTCAGCATTCAGCCAGTGATGCACAAAACATGAGTGGAGTACAAGAACTAGTGAAAGATCCGTTACCCTAATTAAGAGTTGTAGGAAACATGAGGGAATATGTGTCCCATAATTAAGAGTCGTTGAGGGTATATATAGGGTCAAGCTAGCTAGATCGGTCTTCTTCAACGTTGACCTTTATTTTTCAACAGGTTTCTGAGGGCAAGTAGCAAGCCCCTACATGTTAAACCTAAATCTGTCACATAGGATTAGATGTGAGGTGTTGAAGAGAAGATAGAAGAGAGAGAATGAGCCACCCATTAGAGTAAGGATAATAGTATAACTCACTTCCTACTATTAGTTCATCTTAAAGCCAACATATATAATAGGTTATATAAGGTTGGCTACAATTTTATTCTCCTCTCTCTATCTCACACTCATATATTTAATGTATTTGTCTTGGAGCTTGTGTTAAGTTAGCTCTTGCATGAGAGCCAACCTCCTTGAATTTTCGGTACCTCTCTCCTCCACATAAGTTTATAGTAGGCTTATAGCTCACTATTATACTTGCTCTTATGCAAGGAGCAACATCTACACAATCTTCGAGAAAAGTGTAAGGTGATGTGAGAATAAATTAATATTAGGGTTTTGTGTATTACATGTGATATGTTATATTTGTTACATCTTAATTAATTAGAAGATGACATGGTTTAAATTAGATGTGACATTCACCTCCACTGTAGAACTTGCCCTGAGCGCATTTTTCTTATCTAAAGACATTAGAAAAAAAATCATTAAGGCTATCTTTCATATGATGCCACAATATTTGTAGCATTCTATTGCTAGTTCCTCTAAAAAATTGTTTAATTATGGCAGTGATTAGTTTAACAAAACGGACCCTAGTATATACTCCCTTATAATAAGGGAGTATGTTTTGTTCAAGTATTTAATTTCATGCATGAATATATTTAGTATTTTTTTGTTTGTTCCATGCGCATTGACGTGATGGTGTTGCATCCACTTAACAAATTTGGATTTGTAATGTTGTGAGAATCACAACAATTCTTTTGTTACTCGACCAATTATCTTTTTATGGCAACCTGACAAGTTCCATATCAACAACTTGTTCCAATGGTGCAAATAATGCTCCTCTTTTAATAGAAGGAAAGAGCGTAAATGTGATGACGATTTATATAGGGAGTTCACACTTCCGGGCAACCTAGCTTTTTCATCTCATTTTGTGTATCCTCATCTTGGTATCGTATATTGTGGAAAATCATATCGTATATTTATAAATTTAGATACTTTTCACCTGTATAAGAGGGCATGTGAATAAACCTAGCTTTAGGTCAATCTCTACTATTACAAAAATTGAAAATATTTTTACCGGTATTTTAGTAAGTCATCCGTATTTGAGTCGGTTTTAAGTTCATTCGTTTTTTGAAATACAGATCCATATTTGAGTCGGATTTTAATATTCGTTTTTTTTTTAAATAGAAAAGGAGTTGTATAAGAAGTCTTTTTTAAAAATGCTCGCATGCTAACTTGAGATGAAAGTCGGACTCCAAATTGCAGCTCATGATTTTCTTAAAATATATATTCAAATGAATTCCCATATAGTGAATTTTATCATAGCTAAACCATATAACAATAATAATAAGATTAAGATAGCACTCATCCGTTGCAACACATGGGCATTTTTTCTGGTCAAGGTGGTTTTCGTTTACCAGCACGTAGGTGGTCTAAGTTCCTATGACCGAGATAATACTAAAGTAATAGAAAAAGAAGCCTCTACGTTTGCTCTCACAGCCTAGAAATTCTCATATTTATCAGAGAAAAAGATAAATAAGAGTCCATGTAGAAATACAGTTTAAAAATAGCTGAAATTTGGAATTTTAAAAAAGGGATATTGAAAGACGAGAATATAGTTCATACAAGAATACATACAAGAATACAATTTAGAACTAACTAAAATTCAGAATTATTTCATTCTTTTTAAAAAAATTCGGAATTAAAAAATGAAAAATTGAAACCAGAGGTTAGAGTCCATATAGAAATACAATTTAGAAATTAATAAAATTCAAAATAAAAAATATTGGAATAAAAGTTTAGATTTCTTTAGGAGTAAAATTTAGAAATTATTGAAATTATAAATTCAAAAATAAGAAATATTAAAATATGAGTTAGAGTCCATATAGAAATACAATTAAAATTAACAGAAATTCAGAATTAAAAATAAGGAATATTGAAAGAGGATAATAGAGTCCATACATGAAAACAATTTAGAACTAATTAAAATTCAAAACTAAAAAAGAGGTTAGAGTCCATATAAAAATACAGTTCAGAAATAACTACAAATTGAAATAGAAAAAAGAATATTGGAAGAAGAGTATAGAGTCCATATAGGATTAGGAGTACAATTTAGAAATAACTAAAATTCGAAATTAAAAAATATATATTAAAAGATGGGTTTAGAGTTCATATAAAAATACGTTAAGAAATAACATAAATTCAAAATTAAAAATAAAACATATTGAAAGAACAGACTAGAGTCCATACAGATATACTCCCTCCGGGCTAATAATACTTATTGTTTTAGATAAGGGTGATGTCAAACTTTAGAATCTTTAATTCTGAATCATTTTTAAAATATTTATCTTTCAAATATGATGATTAAATGTATATATTAGTCTTAAAAGTACTTTAATAAAACATATATTTGTTAACACTTTTATACATATTATAATAGAAAAAAATACTTAAAGTTGTTTTTTGGAGACCATGCTTTTGTCCAAAACGATAAGTATTATCAACCCGGAGCGAGTACAATTCTTAAAGTCTAGTCTAAGTTCATATAGGAGTACAGTTTAAAAATAAATAAAATTCAAATCAAAGGAGACGGTATACTCTAAAGTCCGTAGAAGAGTATAATTTAGAAATAATAAAAATTCGAAATTACAAAAATAAAGGATATTGGAAGATGAGTCTAGAGTCTATATAGTAAATTTTTTAGAACTAATTGAAAATCCGAATTTAAAAGACATGAAATATAATTAAAAATAAAGTTTAGTGTCCATACAGTCATATAATTTCAAAATTAGAAATTCAATAAAGTGAGGACGATTGGTAGCAGAGTACAGTGTCCATATAAAAATACAATTTTGAAATAACTAAAATAGAAAATTAAAAATAAGGAATATTGGTAGAAAGAGTTTAAAGTCCACATAGAAATACAATTTACAAATCACAAAAATTTGAAATAAAATAAGAAATGTTGAAAGACATGTTTAGAGTATATATAGGAATACAATTTAGAAATAACTAAAATTCAAATTTGAAAGTAAAAATTGAAAGAAGGTTTTAGACTCCATATAGGGATAAATTCATAAATAACGAAACCTCATAAATAAAAAATAAGAAATATTAAAAAAGAGTTTGGAGTCTATATATAAGAATACAAACTTACAAATAACTAAAAGTCAGATTAAAAAATAATTAATAACTATCACCTATATACAATATGATATGAATATTATATATTGGTTAGTTTGATCTATAGAATTTAAAATTATGTCACTGTTTTAATATATTTTAATAATATAATTTGAAATATATATGTTATTATGTGAAAAAAATATAACGATGCTAGTCGCTCAATCTACGCAGGACAACATGCTAGTTATTTTGATGTACGCTGAATTATAATGCTTTAGAATAAAAAGTAATTTTGTACATCAATTATAATAAAGCACTCCTTCGTTCTAAAATATAATGACTTTTAACCTTTTTTTATGAAGGGAGTAATTATCAGCAATATTAAACTAATAGAAACCAATACTTTTAAGATTAATATGTTTTAGATGATGGGATGTTTTACATCCAAACTCTCCACTAACCAAAGATTATAACGTATCAAAAGGAAAAAACGAAAGAAAAAGAACTAAAGCAATGTAAAGTTGTAAACTATCATGCGTGTTGGGTGCGTTGCGACAACTTATAATATATTTAAAAAAAACACAAACAACAACACAATATCTATGATGTAAACAACACCATAATATCTACAATGTACTCTCCAGAACATCGTCTAAAAAATGATTAAGTCAATCAAATGTTTGAGATCAATATGTACTTAATTTTTCAAAATTATTAAGTCATTTATAAGCTAAAGTTGAGATTGTAATGGATTTTATTATATAATTGAAGATGATTAGTACATCTCCATGTTCCTACGCATAGTGCACCAAGCCAAGAAACTTCAATGCATGGATGGATTGAACTTCCTTTGTGTCTATGTATCCTAGATTGTTAGAACCGAAAGCTCATCATTTTTTAACGTAAAACAGCAGGAGAGGCTCTTACTGCCAAAAGCTCATCATGGATGCATCAAGATATATCATATAGAAAATAATAGCCTTGATGCCTCTCATGATTTGATCATAACAACCTATATATCACTTTCATTTACAACTCACTTCGTGTAGTTATTGCTACAAAGCTTAACATACATGCATTGAGCCCATATCACTTCAAAAAAATAATAGTCATTATCCCTATCTCATACTCTACTCGATGAAAACCATCCATGTGTTATATACGCAAAGTTGTAGTAGTTTCACATCAACTGTTAGGACTCAGAATAGGCATTATGAGTTCATGATTTAATTTCGACATGTTTCTATCGAACTTCTTTTAGAAATATTTTTAAATTTCTTGCTGCAACGAGTGGGGGTATTCCCTTGTTGATTCCAAACCAATAACCCTGGCAAAGGAAGACGACGACTTAATTTTACCAAAGCAAATGGTGCGCTGCGGCGGAGCCTCGAGCTTTTCGCCGTGTTTAGTTGCAAAATTTTTCTTCAAACTTTCGACATTTCCATCACATCAAAACTTTTCTACACACACAAATTTTCAACTTTTCCGTCACATCGTTGTAATTTCAACCAAACTTACAATTTTGATGCGAACTAGACACACCCTTTGTAGTCATTCTTCCGCGCGCCCACCCTCTGGCAGCACTCGATTTCCTCTGCCTGCATCCGATCCGTAACGCGTCGATTGTGTTTGGCGACGGCGACATGGTTGGCTGCTTGCCTGCCTCTTCCTGCATTTGCCGTGTCCCTTCCAGCCAGCTTCCGCGTGATGCGCGGTGGCCGCCATCTCTGCTCAATCGCGCACGCGCGAGCGGGAGCAGACGGGAGACGCAGGGGCCTTCTTAATCTGCTGGCCGAGTCAACACAAGAATTAAACGGGACGCGTAAACCACACGTACGGGACCCCACCAACACAAGAAATCACCAGATAGAGAAAGCAACGCATACTTATCCACAGATTGCAGAGGTCAAATTGTCAATGGTTGGTTTTGGTTGGTAATTTTGGGTTATCTAAATTGAGCTTCGCTCCGGTACTTTCTACTTGGAGTAGAAAGTAATCTAAACCATTGATCATATTTAATTGTATTGTTGTGATATATTTCTACTCTCACCAGAGTTAGTCGTAGTAGAAATGTGGAGGGGCATATTCGTCCAGAGATAATAATTCGTATAGGGGTATTATCGTAATTTATCAGTATCTAACTCACCCTCTCCCTATCCTATCATATCCTATCGACGCCATTAAACTCCATCCCGATGCCATTCCCCTCCATCCCCCGCCACCAGCAACGTGGAGACCTACCTCGGCCGGCCGTAGCAGCCAATCCCGAGTCCGACGTGATGCCGTAACGGCCGTTCTCGCGCGCGTGGTGTTCTTGGAGTGCGCCATGTCCGACGTGATCGAATTTTGTTTTCTCATTTTTCTTAGCCAAGGCACGGGGATGATGAGGCCAGAATTTCTCCTGGCAGATGCGTTGCCGCGAGTTCAGAGTTTCAGCATGCATGGAAGAAGAGAATTCATGACATTAATTTCTGCAATCATCTGAACGATTCATTTCATCTAATAGCCCTAAATTTTACATCAGGATCTATGTACAAATGGAAAACTGATGGCTGATTACTCCGACACTGTGGCAAGAACTTGCCATGGAGCTCAAGAACACCCTCTCAACCTCTTCAGGCATCTCTGCTAATCAAGCACACGCACGTCAACGTGATCTTGCCATCGTCGCTGGCGAAGCCAAACTCCTTTTGAGACATGGCGAGGAGCTCACTGAAGACCGCTATGCCAAGGTACGCCAATAGCACCTTGAACCGCACCCCGTCGGCTGTCTACACCGCGCAGTGGCCCTTGCCGGCGAGAGACGACGACGCCATGTTGTAGCAATTGCCAGTGGTGCCTGCCGTGCCCATCTACCGTACCTGATGCAATGCGAACCGAACAAAACATCCCATACCAAAATTACCCTAAACTATATTAGGAGATTACTTATCTGCCCTTTAAAATAAATGGTCGAGATTAATTCTACTTGTAGTAGAATACTGCAAGTAGAGAGCACCGGAGCGTCACCCTATCTAATTAGCTCAGGGGATAACCTGCAAGAAATTAAATAAAATGGTCGTTTAATTTTCACATGCAATCCCTCCTCCTCCTACCGCGCCTACGCGCGCTATCATCCGTCGGGGAGGGGGTGTGTAAGTGTTTCACCTAATTTCATTTGCATTATTTCAAGGGCTCAAGGCAAACATGCAAGTTCTACAAAGTACAAACTAGGAGTATAATTTTTCCTGACCTTCACTAGCTAAAAAAAAGTGTAATTCGCACCTTCTACCAAGCTGTGAGGAAAACAATTGATTTGGAATAATACTGGCCAACTTGACCGATTTGTACCAGTCACAGCCCACAGAAATTTCACAGCTGTGACTGGAAGCTGCGAGGAAATTTCAGTTGTATTCTAATGTCTCTAGGGGATAGAGACGTTAGAATGCGACTGAATAGTGACTTATAGTTATAGCCTTTGGAGTATATCCCAACTCGTTGGGTGTGGTTCGAGCGCAATCGAATAATCTTTTAACAAATCTAACAAAGTGAGAGTCAAGTTGCATGCCTTCCTCGTAAAGGAAAATATAAGCCAATGGACACAATCAAAAGTTCTAATTTGGAGGTCTCATAAGGGTGTCCTTTTTAATAATACTCTAAATTAGGGACACCTCAGTTGTTTTTTTCCATTTTCTTTAGGCCCTTTCTAATCTGTATTTAACTTTTACTCCTAATATATCCGGTAAACCTTTTGTTACATTTTTAAAAAGAAAAGAACTTATCTATATATGCAAGGGGCGGAAAATAGTTAAACTGATTTTGTTCTAAAGTCAAGTGGTTGCGCGGAAGAAAATAAGGCGAACAATTAGCTAGCTTGGCGGTAAAGGAACAACCCCAGCACGCCACACAGTAATCTGCAATACGACGCGTAAAACAAACTACAGCTAGCGTGAAATTAATGACGGAGATGGTGGACGGAAATTGCCGGCCACCGAAAAGGCGAGAGAAGATAAAGCTTCCCTGGTCAGCGAGCTCCCGATAGTCATAATTTATCGTAGAATTAGAAAAACTGTGGTTAAAGAATACACAAAATAAACTGAGACTAGTTTTTCTTAGCTTCTCTAACTTCTCACAAGCTAGATTTACACTAGCTGTTTCTTAAAATCTAAAGTTCAACCAAATGAGCCATTTATTTTTTTTTAACGACTCGCACTAGACGGTGCAAAGTTCTATTGATAGAGTAGGAAAAAATTGCAAGATTATAACCCTGTAAGGTCGTAACCAGGAAAATGAAAAAGTATACCACCACACATACACCGACAGCACCAACACACATCCAGGAGAAGGCTATCACCAGACCAGCCGCCGCTAAGCGTGACCGACCGCCGCTAGGCCAACAACAGAATATAGCCGAGATCAGCCAAAACCCGACCCTTACAACCAACACAAAGCCCCACTCTATCCAAGTCTTCGGGAGTTAGGGAGAGAAGGTGAGAGAGAAGAGTGGAACTCCTCTCCCTAGTAACACACAAGATGCATGTAATTTTTTGGAGTGTTTTTATGGTCCATTAAATGGTACCTCCAAATACTGGTACTGCAAGGTACCAAACAAAATCTAACCGTTGAATAAGCAAGGACACAATAGGAAAAAGAAGGAAACAAGACCCTCGCGACCTCCTAGTCTCGTACTATCCTTCACGGGCGACGGTTTGTATTTAGGGTTGAAGGCTACCGATGGCACCACGACCTGACTGCTGCTGCGGCATAGCAGAAGTCCCTGATCACCACCTCCAGGATTCGCTTCTTATGATTCTGGATGAGAGGAAGATCCAAGTTAGGAATCACATCACGAGAGAGAGGGAGGGAGAGAGAGAGAGAGAGAGCTCAAGCTCCTGTTCTTCTCTCGCTCTTGACGATGATGATTGGAGCATAGGAGGCGAAAAAAAAATGTGGCAAAGAAACAAATAGTGGTATGCAAAAATCGAACTCACAACTAAATTTGGCTTTAAAACAAGTAGGATGAGCTAACCCAAACCACTACATTACGTATTAATCTATGTAAGAGAGATCGTCAAGTAGAAACTTCTACCTTAGCAAGATGAAGCTGGACTTGTACCTGCTCTTGACCTCGCCTTCATTCCTGATGGTGGGTTGAGATGAAGCTGGACTTGCAACTGTTGCTAATCTCGGTTCGTTTGAGATTTGATCAGGGAGGAGGGAGGAAGTAGCTGTGTCGTTGGGAGGGTACTGGGGAGGGCGGTTAGGAGGTTCCCCCAAAGTCGTCGCGTCACCCAACAATTACCTCAGATGTACTAGCACCAAGGAGGTGGGAGAAGGCTGGGAAGTAGTCGAGCCGGCGACCCAACATTAGCCATGTTTCCTGAGGTTACTGCCGCGCTGATGAGCACGTCGTCGTGGCTGCAGTTTGTAGCGAGGGAGTTGAAGGTGTCTCGGTAGCTTGGATTCGGCTAGCAAGGTTGATTGCACCGCTGCCATGCAAGACAAATATAGATGAGGTGCCTTAAGGGAAGGGGATCAAGAGTAGCGGCTTACCGGCGATGGGGAAGAGCCTGAGGTGCGGAATCAGCACAAAAAAAAAACTATTTTAAACCCAGTTTTGCACTTCCGCTTGTTCAACGAAGGGGGTACCGCCAAGAGGATTCTTGTACCTGATAGTACCGAAGATTGACAACAATTGAATATCACACTCGATGAATGGCTCTGATTGCAGGTACCTAGGTACCTGGACCCAATGCATAGTAAAAATACTCAAATTTTTATTGATCACATGCATGCAGTTAACCACACATACGCAAGACCACGAGACCCACATGCAAGGAATATGGTAACTACGAATTATGCAACCGAGAGACTATCAATTGTATGTTGGCAGGGTCACAGTCAGCCACGGTCAAAATTTAGTTTTTTAAAACATAGTTATAGGGTTAATTTAGGGTTCATTTATTTAGCATATTTTTTTAGCATCGGTCTTTTAAACTGATTAATAACATAGATATATAGTTGTACGTACATATAATTTTGTTTTGCTTGTTCGATTTACTTTTCGATTTTACACTTATTAGCCATAGGCCATATATATATAGCTCGAACGAAAGTACTCCCTCCGTCTCAAAAAATAATCTCAATCTAGTATTGAATTAGACGTTTCATAGTATAATAAATCTAGACATACTCCTGTACAGATTTATTGTATTAGAAAACGTCCCATCCAATACTATATTGGATTTTTTTTTTTTGGGACGGAGGGAGTATGTTTGGACAGTCTCTTATATTCACGTTACGCATGCTACACTCACACCACCACGAACATACATGCGCGTCCGGCCTCCACACATGCTCAAAATATTGTTGAATACATCGAACACCCGCGGAGTGCGTGGGCAAACGTTACTCGATCAATCGGTACAGAAACTCCAAACAAGCTAGTAGTCATAGGCTTTTGCACATATGCAGCACATATACCGCAGGAGAAGGAAGAGAGAAAAGGCCGTGATGGCGCTACTACGAGCATATATATGGAGATCCAAGGCTCCAAGCTATTGAAGCTATCCATCGCTATTCCGCATTATTAGCTTAGCTCTTGCGCGCCTCGTGGATGCGCCGCCTACGCGCGGTGCAGCTCCAAGAGGCCATCGAAGGTGGTTCTTATAATTATATGCATGCGCAGCCGCATACGGAGTACTTTGACCCAAATCCAACGTAAAAAACACGGTAGCCAAGCCAGACAAACGCATTTGGTTTGGTTGGTCAAAAATGTCCATATCACCGAAACTTCCGTGAAACTACCGCGAGAGGTTGTTTGCTGGCTTTTTCCTTCCAGGAACACAAATGGTTGCGCTTTCTCCGCTTGTACGGGTGCGATGGTGGTGATGTTTGTGTGCAATGTGGTCCGTGCTAGAAGAGTAGTATAGGAACGCTCTTCTTCAGAAGAGACATGTGTTCAGTTTGAAACAAGAATGTTCAATTTGGAAGGAATATTGGTAACTAAAGCACTGAGAGATGTACTCTCTCGAATCGTGATAGGATTGAAGTGTATACGCAGAACTTTCAAAATCAATTTCCTAGAGATGAGATATTTTGATGCCACAAAACTTTTTTTTTCCCAGGTTAACCATCAGGGATGCGGTAGAGATGACCTAAGAAAACATAGTTAAAGATACGATCGAGCTACCAAAGAGAAACTTGGTATCAAGATTTAATTAAGAATAAGAATAGACTAAATATGAGTTGAAGTTGACTCAAATTTTGGTTTAATTTAGAATAAGAATAGACTCAAATATTTACAATCTATCTATCTATCTATTATTATATACTAAAAGTCCATTAAACTTTCTACAAACGCTCTCAAGTTGCCACTTGGCGCTCTAATAAATTAGAGAAATCCTAGAAATTCTAGGAAAAAAGCAAAACATCTGACCCTCGATTTTCACTTAATATAACGGGCCCATTATTTGCACCATTAAATCTATATTAAACAAAATAAACCAAAATCCCATCCTCTCGCGCTCCCCTTATGGGCCTCCACTCCTCCTCACGTACGTAAAATGTAAAGCACGTACATGTACGTACATATACGTACGTTCCTCCCTCAACCTCTCTTTTCTTCATTCCATCCATCTTATTATATAAAAAATAATTAGATAACTAAATAATTATAAATATTTACAACATATTCTATTTATCTATATATTAGCCATGTGTTTTGATATATAAGAAATACATCGTTTGACAAAAACTCCTATAAATAGCAAAAATTAATAACATATACTATCATGTGGTCGCAAATAATTTCACGTCCTGTCTCCTTGCTCACTTTGGCCTCCTTAATTTCTAGCTAGCAACAAATAATAAATATCTATTAAATTAAACATCGTGTATCACAATATATCTATTATATACTAAAAGTCTATTAAACTTCCTACAAACACTCTCAAGTCGTTACGTAGCTTTCTACAAACGCTCATACATACATTGCCATGTGACGCGATAATAAATTAGAGAATTCTAAGAAAAAAGGTGAAACGTCTAACACTTAAACTGTGGATCCGTTATTTTGGACCATTAGATTATTACATCCATTAAAATATAATCTCTCACATCTAATATACCGTTTCTATACGAGAGAAAATACATCCGAAAAGAAGATCCATCCGAAAGTGATAAAAAAGATTGAAATAACAAAAATAAAAATCAAAAAACAATTACAGATTGAAAAGAAAAATTAACAGCTAACATATAAAACGTCCAATCCGGCAATCTGCTCACCGCTCAAGCATGTATATACACCATCTGTTATTTTTTTTCGTAAGTTGTTGAGAGCTAAAGCATAATAAAATATTAAAAGCATTTGATTTATATCTCCAAATAAATATAGACTTCCATGGTTACATCTGTTGATGTCCTCTTCATGGAGGGTTACATGCATGCGTGCATCCTTGCATGTATTAATTTTTAAAAAATTATATGTTGGTTTTATGCTCAACTTATTTCTTTTTATTCCTGACAATCTACCCATCTATCTATCTATTAATTATATACTAAAAGTCCAATAAATATCGTATAAACGCTACTATAAGCCACCATATAGCATCTCTATAAATGGTTCTAAGCCACCACATAGCATTCCTATAAACGCTTCTAAGCTACCACGTGGTGCCATAATAAATCACATAAATTCTAAGAAAAAAGCATTTAACCGTTGGTTTTCATTTATTTTGGTAGACCATTATTTTATCCATTGAATCTATCTTAAAAAACTACCAATTTAATTTATCTCTAAAAGTCCTCACTTATAGGTGAAAATAAGTATGTACCCACGTAGGTCCCACGTTCCTCTCTTTCGTTTTGTTTTCTTTGTGAAATCCAAAAAGCAATATACCATTAAAAAGTTTGAACTCAGCTCAAAACTATAGTTGGTATTTAAAATTAAAATTCAAACCTCCTTTGGATTATAGGAAAAGAAGTGTGCGATTGGGATTCCTATTGATTGCATCACTATACCGTCCTTTAATTTGCACGAATACATTATAGTAACTCTGATAAAAAAATTCATATCCTACTGATACCATGCAAAAATAAACATAGGAAAGTAGTTTAAGTCCATTAAACATCTTACTAACACTCTTAAACTTGTACATGATACTATAATAAATTAGAGAAAATAATAGAAATTATTAGAAAAAGATAAAATATAACACTATGAACTAGAAGGGTACCCCGCACGTTGTTGCGGGAGAATTGTGTGATAAAATAGTAGATATGAGTAGTAGAAAAAATATCTTACTTACTATATGATTTTCTTTCATGTGTTTGTATATTTTGTACCTTGATCAATTATTATAAAGTTATAAATGGTTGAGTTGTATGGTGTGGCTTTTGGGGAGAAGAGATGCAATTTGCACCCTTGATGAATCATCCAAGGGCTAAAAACAATTGAGATGATGTGGCTTCATGAGAGAAGAGAAATTAGCATTAGCTACACTTAGTGGGGATGAACTTTATAGATATATAGGATAAGGGAGTAGCCACTCCGATAAGCTCTTTAGAAAGCTACTAAAACACTTAATATGTAGTATACAATATACTTGATCAATTATAACTTATGAGGTATGTCCACACTACCACTATCTACTAATCCCAAAATCATATTGGTTATGAGGTATCCATGCATGGTGCACCTAACGATTAGCTGATATCCAAAAGGTTGTGGTATATCTCTATAGCAATAAAATTAATAAAATAGAAATAAGATTCATGCGCATGTTTTTTTCCTTTGCATGGGATCGAGAAAATCAAGCAGTTAATGCAAAGGTTGTTTGGTTAACTGCAATTTATTTATGCAATGAAAGATGATGATTTCATCTATGTGGGTTAACAAATTTTAAAATTCATGTTATTTCTGTACTCTGTCCAAAATTCGTTTATTCGTTGTTTTACACATGCATTTCTAACCTATTTCCGACATTTATATTTTTTTCAATCATTTGTTATAAAAGAACCTTCAAATTCTTTCACCGAGATACAAAGTCATAATATTCAAAATCCTAATAAAAAATTTAAATAAGATGCCTACGCAACTGCGCGGGCTACCTTTCTAATTAATACAACAATAACGTACATATGCAAAGCACGGTTGACGACTAGTGAATATAACATGACACAGTTCTAAGTAGAGGCACACGTTTACACATTTCAACATATGTGTGGTTATACAACCAGTACATTTACCAAGCAATCACCCATAAAGCTATGTAGATCTTCTCCAACCCTTCTTAGCTGAGAGGAAACTCAAGTAAAACCAAATCCTCTTTGTAAAGATAAACTCAATAATCTAAAATTTGGGGGAAAAAACTACCAAATACAGGGCCATCTCGTCACTTTTTAGGACCTTTCATCGGGCTTAAATTTATTGACTTAGAATTTTAACCTCACATGTTCTTATAGGTTTATAAGGTGGTGACTTTTAAGCCTTAAATTTAGATGACAGAGTTATACCTTCTTAAGGCAATATGAGGCAAGCTTTATAAAAAAAAGTCTGTTTGTTTGTTTGTTTAGGCTTATAAAGTATGCAGCCTAATGGTGTGTTTGGATCCAGGGACTTAACTTTAGTCTCTGTATTTAGACATTAATTTAAAGTATTAAATATAGACTACTTATAAAACTAATTACATAAATGAAAGCTAATTTGCGAGACAAATTTTTTAAGCCTAATTAATCTATAATTAGAGAATGTTTACTGTAGCATCATATAGCCTAATCATGGAATAATTAGGCTCAATAGATTCGTCTCGCGAATTAGTTCAAGATTATGGATGGATTTTATTAATAGTCTACGTTTAATATTTATAATTAGTATCCAAACATCCGATATGATAGGTACTTAAAAATTTTAGTCCCATCTAAACAGGGTTCTAAGTAGGCTATAGGGGTCAACGCTCAGGTATGCACAACCGGCAAAGACTGGTGAGGTCTTGCACGTACGGGAACGCGCTGATGAGCAGACCAAGCAAGGTTTGCGCGGATAGAGCTACGACGAGGCACATGGAGACGACGGCGACGCGGCGGCCGCCGGAGAAGAGGCGCCCGGCGAGGCCGACCAGCATGAGGGCGCTGCCGCAGATGAAGGTCGCGAACGCGAGCAGCAGCGTGGCGGTGAAGACCAGGCCGCCGTTGGACCCTTCCGTCCATGGAGGCCCGTCGACGAAGTAGTCCATTAGAACGGCGGAGCTGAAGATGGTCACCAGGATGCCGCGCTCCAGATTCCGCTGGGCGTCGTTGGGTTTCCGGCATAGCTGCTCTCCCTGCAGGGAAAAAAAAAACAGAAACCCTTTAGGATGGAAGGAATACAAGATGACCAAAATCTTAAGCTAACAAGAAAAGCTGTTGCGTAGAAATGACTTTATGATTTTGTTTTCCTATTCTAATTGCGTCACCTTGGATTTAAAGTCTAGACCCCTGGCAATACACCAAATTCTAAAGCACGAGAGAAGACGGGTAATTTGTATATACTTAGATAATACTTCTTCTATCCTAAAATATAGATGCATATATAGTATTCAAATTTTATTATAACTTCTTCTCCACCTACGATCTACTATATTAACCAATCACAAATAACCATCTCCTGTTTAATCCCCACCTACTTCCCTACCTGAAGCATGCAATTATCCCATGTTTGATTTCACATGTCTTCTTAATCTCCGTGAAAAAAAAATATCATAAATATTTATATTTGAGAACAGAGAGATTATCACTTACATGAGAAACCATCACTGAAGTTGCAGCCTGTTGATAAACAATACTTGTGTTTGCCATCGTGAAAAATGAGAGCAAAACTGTGTCACAAAATGCAAAATAAAAGCAGCCACTTTATTTTTTAGGCCTGGTTTAGTTCCTAACTTTTTCTTTAAACTTCCAACTTTTCCATCACATCAAAACTTTCCTACACACACAAACTTCTAATTTTTCCATCGCATCGTTTCAATTTCAATCAAACTTTCAATTTCAATCAGCGTGAACTAAACACACCCTTAGCATGATTTGAAAAAAAATGGTGAAAATAACTGTAAGTTCTTAGGGCACCCACAATGATTATCTATACGCTCTCTACAAGAGATCCATGTCAGCATATTTTCCTACATAGAAGATATTAAATGAAGAGAGAGAGAGCTAAGCTATCTACTAACTTAGAGATAGTCTATAGAGAAAAACGAGGCAATGCATGAGAGAGCTATAGATACCCATGTAAACATGTTATTGAGGTGGTTTACTTATTAATCTAGTCTATTGCTGAAATGTACATGTTTTATAGAGAGCGTTTTACTTAACATTGTGGGTGCTCTTATGGACTGGTGTATGCTACTGGATTCAACAAAATGATATTCTATTAATTCTTTGTGTTTTCCTTACTCCTATACTAGTTTTCGAATCCGGCCGGCCTGCAAGGCTTCAAAGCGGTCCTTAATTAATTAATTAATTAATGGACTCATTTTTTTAGATAATGAATTAATGGACTCATAAAAATTAGTGTAGATATCTTGTGCTTGTTCTTACTAAGGGCTCCGAGAATGCTCAAATTTAACTACATTTTCATGCGAAAATCCTATACAATTTCTTAATTTCTTTGTTCGAAACGAAGATTAAAATTAATCCAAGGACTAATTTGGAGGAGAGGGGTAAACCTACTTCAAACACCCTCGGTCAATCTTGAAGAACATATATCTCATTTCTAACTACTGAATTTTAGCTTCAGTTTTGAGCCTACTTTTAAAGGTGTGAGGAGAATGGAAATTCGTTTGTCTTGCATGACGAAATTTAGAGTCAACAGTCATGTTGCCTTATCTACTAATAAGATGACTTTGATATTTATCTACCAATAAGATCAACAGGTAAAGTTATGGAGTGTATTCATTATCTAGGAAAAACTATCGAATTTTTAATGTAGTAACTCTAGAAAGTCAATTAACTATCACATCATGCAAATGCTTTACTTGGCAAGTCTAGACATAATTGTCTCTTATATACCCCCTCCGTCCAAAAAAATCCAATCCTACCTACGAATTTGGACATATGTCTACGAACTTGGACATATGCGTGTTCATAGCTGGTATTTGCTTCTTTTTTTTTTGACAGAGTAGTATGACCAAATAATTCAACTAGCTAGTGTTCTGAAACTACTCGTAGTATAGTAGTTGGACAATAGCTAGGATTTATTTTTTTTTAAGGACAGAGTAGTATGACCAAATAATTCAACTATCTAATGTTCTAAAACTACTATTAGTATGTTAGTTAGAAAATAGCTAGATAAGTTTGATCACAGTGCGGGGTGATAAGGGGTGTGCGATTTCAACCCTAAGATATGATGTTTAATTCTTAATACACTCACAATTTTTAATTATATAATAGCTAAGTTTCTCCTCGATTGTTCTCATTTTTTTAATTTGACCACTGTATGCCATTCTCTTTTTTCACAATAGACCTTATTTTCCTGGGCAAAGTTTAACGAGAAAGTAAAAGTCAGAGGCAATGACGTGTGAGTTCTCCACCACCTCATCCTCAAGCTAGGCTTTATCTTGGAAAAGGGGAGGAAAGAACTCATAGAAAGCTAGAACGGCTCGATCTCCTATGGAGTATTGCATTTACCGATTGACAGATAGAAATTACCTCAGAGAAGTGGAAGAAGAAGCTCTGTAGTAGTAGCTAGGAAGAAGGGCTCAGCAGTGTGCAGGGGGTAAAGCCGCAGCAACAAGGAAATTCGCGTGCAGCTTGGTCTATTTGGGCATGTGATAATTGTGCCCGCGAGCTGGTATTTATAGGCAGGCGCACGTTTTGCATGCGCAAAGTGGTGCCGGCTTTTACCCCACGAGAGAAGCATCGGAGAAGGTTCCCGGAAATTCTGGAGTAGTGCAGTGTAGTACACGCCAGATATATGCCATGCATGTGAGCAAACGTCGGCGCGTGCCGTGATCGTTTTTCTGCGTTTGGCAGAAATTAATATCGGCAACGGCAGTTAATTAATTAATCACTGAACTCACCCAAAATTAAAGTTATACCAAAGTTGGGATATGGATCATGGATATATATGGTCTCTCGTAAGGTTTTAATTTACCTTGACACTTTGTACGATTGAATAGGCAATAGCAGCAGTTCGCTTTTCACTCATTTTTAAGCATACAATTATAGGCAGTGTTTGGATTAATTTACTTTGTTTGGTAGCCATTTATTAGGTGTAAAATGGGAAAATATATATATGAGATCAAAGTAGCATGTCAGATTCCTCAAACCGACAAATCAGTCACTAGTACAAGTTTGTTGAAAAGGTTCGGCGATGAGTTCACTGAAAAAGGTTAAAAGTGAAACACTCTTTACGTGGCGTGGCTACGTGATCGTGCACTCAACGAGTCAAATGCATGCCCGATGGATCTACAGCGCACGCGTTTCTGGTGCGTGGCGACATTAATTTCCAATTTTTTTGCTCCACGTACGACGGAATCGCCGGAAAGTGCCTGGAAATTGTCGTTGCCAACGAACTCGGTCCATTAGTGATTGTGAGTTCTATCTATAGTTAAGCACTCACATGATCGCTACTTGACTTGCCCGCCTCGGACACGTACGTACTTAAGCGCTGACGTCTACTCCTCGTCCCATAAAAAACTAATTTAGTGCTGAATATGACACATTTTAATACATCGAAACTTATAATTAAAATCACACACCCATTATCACACCTTACTGTGGTCAAACTTCTTTAGCTATTGGTCAAATCTTAAACCTAATACTTAATTACACTAGGTAAAACGGGGTTAAGGGCATGTACAATAATGTCTAATAATAGGCTATCTTCGTTGTCATACAAGTAAATTTGATGACGTGGAAGAAAGAGATGGAAGAAATGAGAAACATCGTTGCTACGAATGACAACGGCTCAGAGTCGACTCTTTTTTTAGATAATTAGGTACCTTTTATAGGTATTGTAGATTTCAGGTGCCTGAAAATTTACAAATTTTCACTCACCTAAAATTGCACATTTATAAGTCTAAAATTGTACTAGCTAGTATGCAATGTGCAATTTTACTTCTGTTAAACCATAATTTTGTTATGTATAACAATACTTTATTTTTTTTATCTATGTTTGGATATTGTTTTCACGTAATTTTTTAAAATTTCATAAAACTACATATACTTTGCACAATCTATCATAAAACTACAGATTTTAGAACTAGTTTCACAAAACTACAGATTTAATGTCTTTGTTTATCACAAAACTACAGGTACTTTGAACAATATATCACAAAACTATATATTTAAGAACTTGTTTCACAAAACTACAGGTTTAATATCTTCATTTATCACAAAACTACAGATTTAGTATCTCCATTCTCTCAAAACTACACGTTTTAACAATGCTAAAACATGTAGTTTTGTGAGAATGGAGACACTAAATTTGTAGTTTTGTGATAAATGAAGACACTAAATGTGTAGCACTGTGATAAACGAATACACTAAATCTATATTTTTATGAAACAAGTTCTTAAATCTGTATTTTTGTGATAGATTGTACAAAGTACCTGTAATTTTGTGATAAACGAAGACACTAAATATGTAGTTTTATGAAACAAGCTCTTAAATCTGTAGTTTTGTGATAAATTATGCAAAATACCTGTAGTTTTGTGAAATTTACTCTTTATTTTATGTAGTTTTATATTTTTTATGTTTACTAGAGAAAATGCCTGTGCATTGCAATGGGTAAAGGCTATTTTAATATTATTATTGTTATGCGGTTTAGTTAAGGTAAAATTCACTGTGGGAATTCGCTTAGATATATACTTTTTTAGAAAATCATGAGTTGCAATTAGGAGTCTGATCGTGTCAAGTTAGCATGCGAGTTTTTTTAAAGAGATTTCTTATACAACTCTTTTGTGTTTCCAAAAACAAATAAACTTAAAAACCGACTCAAATACGGATCTATAATTTCAAAAGCGAATGAACTTAAAAATCGACTTATACATGGATGACGTACTAAAGTACCGACAAAAACATCTTCGATTTTTATAATAATAGAGATTAATTTTTTTAGATAATGGAATATAACATCCCAGACTTTGCTAAAAAAGAGCTACAGCCAATTATTACAAAGTAGCACTCCAGAAAAGAGTGTAGTTCAGATAAAAAGAACACACCAAACAAAAACAAAGGTAACCAAGCCAAAATAAGGAGAACACATTTATTGAAGTCTATTTATGAACCTCCACCCATAATTGGCAAATAGTTGCATAACCATCGACTCCAACCTGCGGCATGCAACCTTTAGGAATTCCCCATCATCCTCACACCTTTGTAGCTGTGCCCAAAACTGGAGCTAATGCGTTGCCCTGAAAATAATAGAGATTAAATATGTTGTTTGATCTTTTATATAAGAAAAATAAAAGGACAAGCAATGAAAATCATTGAATTGCCATAAAAAGGATGAGGAAAGTGCTTGAAATTTGTAACTCCCAAATTTTTATAAGCGGTCCGATAAAAGCCAATCTTTATAGGCGGTATTAGATTTACATGACCTCTCGTTATTAATGTAGACGAATTTATTATAGCCCGTAACTAAAAATGAAACCTTGATATTAGGAAAAATCGGTTCTTAAGCAGTAATTTCAAAAGATGTTAACGGATGGCATAGATCAAAGAAGAGATTTTACAAAGACAAATAATAAAACTAGCAACTGTACAGTGATACCTCTAACTTATTTTTTGTTTGTATAATTGGAACGTGTCCTTCTCAAGAGACATAACAAAATGAGTATCGCAAAGTGAGCATAGCTCAACTGGTTAGATTCTTTGTGGTGAAACCAGCCCACTCAAGTTCAAATTCTAGATTTGACACGGGTGATCGCATTTACGGCTAATTATTCTTTCAGTGGTAGGCGACGTACCCTTCGACAGCGAGGCGCCGCCCGTGGTGACTTTGTCAATCTCAAGTTATGCTGGAAGGGGTGAGAGTGCGCACGTTGTGAGCCTCTGTGTTTGTGTTTCTCAAAAAAAGAATGAGTATCGCGCACCGCCCCCACGATCCAAACAACACGGCAACCTTTTTAACTTCAAACGGAGAGATAGACGTAGCGAATTCCAACACACCAATGCAATATACTACAAACAGTCCAACACACCAATGTAATATACTACAAACAGTCGAAGGTCTACACGCGGGTGATCGCATTTACGGTTAATTATTCTTTCAGTGGTAGGCGACGTACCCCTCGACAGTGAGGCGCCGCCCGTGGTGACTTCATCAATCTCAAGATATGCCGGAAGGGGTGAGTGTGCGCACGTTGTGAGCCTCTGCGTTTGTACTGTGTTTGTGTTTCTAAAAAAAATGAGTATCTCGCACCGCCCCCACGATCCAAACAACATTGCAACCTTTTTAACATCAAATGGAGAGATAGACGTAGCGAATTCCAACACACCAATGCAATATACTAAAAAAGTCGAAGGTCTACACACGGAGAGAGAGTAGGGGCCAAAGCCGAGGAAGTTCTCGGAGCTCTGTTCGATACTCACAGTTGGGAACTGGTTCCCTCCAGCACGGAAAACGGAGCAGCGATTAGCGGATGATTAATTAAGTATTTGTTAATTTTTTTTTAAAAAAATGGATTTAATATGATTTTTAAACAACTCTCATATGGAATTTTTTTTATAAAAATACACCATTTAGTAGTTAAAAAAGCGTGCGCGTGAAAGCAGGAAGGGAATTTGGGAACAGTGGTAAAGAACGCAGCTTCGTAACGAAGGAGGGGTGGGCCATCCCTCCCTCCATGCCGACGCGCAACTGCGCAAGCAACGCGGTAACTGGAGCGCGTGAACGAACGACGCCGATCTTTACATGGCAGAGTTGAGCAGCGGATGTGCAGGAAGTCGTATATGTTGTTCTTTTAAATTCTACTAGAGGTATTTATCGCGAAATTGCTCTGAAAGATGGCATGTGTATTATACACTTTCACAACTTATAGTTTCTCCTTTTTCATTAAACAGTGTATTCTTTATCAAGTATTCTATAAGAAAGTTGGTTTAAAAGTTATATTATTCTATTTTTAAGTTTTTAAGCTAATACTTAATTAATTATTTGATAATCCGTTACTCAGTTTTGTGTCTCGTGAGGGAAGGGTTCGCAACGCTTCTAAAGGAAAACAACCTAAACTATCTCTCCGTGTTTTTCTGATGTTTGGTTATACTCTCTATATTCCAAAATATAATTACTTTTAGCTCTTAGAATTTATTCTAAAATAAAATAACTTATACACCAATATTCTTTTCCCAATCAATTACAACCCTCCACCATTTACTTTTCATACCTATCTCTACTACTCATCCAATCACAACCCTCCACCATTTACTTATACCTACTTACTTAATAACCATGTCCAACTCTAAAACTTCTTATATTCTTTGACAGAGGGAGTACTGTGAAATCAAAGAGCATATCTTATACAGATAATCTTTTCGTGCACACCAACTAGCAAATACCACGGAAAATTTTAGAAAAAAATGAACATAAACTTTCAATAGTATTATACTATATATGAAATCTCATGTTAAATTCGTTATATTTTAGCTGTAACAAAAAAGACAAAATTCTGACAGTTTTCTACTCTTAATACTGTCATATTTTTCATTTTTTGTTACGGATAAAATACAATGAATTTGAATATAAGACTTTGTAGATATGTGTAATACTATTAAGAGTATATGTCAGATGTTTTCTAGAATTTTTCGTGACATTTGCTACTTGGTGTGCACGGAGTGTGCACGGAAAACTGTGGATAGGATATGTTCCCATGGAACCAATGTCAGATAACAAATGGGGGATAGTACTAATAATATAGCACGGTTTAATTAAGGGTCTATTCACTTTGATGCCAAAAAAACCTTACCAAATTTTGGCAATTGCCAAAATTTTGGTAGGATTTCTTATATAGTCACCAAAATTTGGCAGCAAACTAAATGTAGCTACTTTTTTTGGCAACTTTATCAAAATTTAGTAAAGTTGAAAATGATATCAAAATGAACAGCCCTAAATTTCATGACACGGTTATACTACAAAACCCTGGTAGATATTGCTTAAGATACCTAAGTATTTCCTATACATCAACGGCAGTTTAATATCTTCGGCATGCCAATATTTTTCTTTGCAATTAATGGGATCTAAAAAAATTCTAATAAAAGTTGTATGGTTTCAGGTTTTTTTTAATCCTTTGTTCAAGTGAGTCGATTTTTTTTTTCGTTGGAGCTCTGAGTAACCACCATGAATTTTCTAGATATATTTTCTGTTTTTCTATTGAAGATCCTGAGCCAACATTGTCTCTTAGGGTGTGTTTGTTTGTGAATTTGGGGGTTATATTTTCAGCCGCACGTGATCAAACAAGCTCATTAGCTCATAAATAAATAATTAATTAAGTACTCTATTAACTATTGGTATAAACTTAAAATGGATTTATTTGATTTTTTTAGAAAACTTATGTATAGATTTTTTTTTCACAATACACATAGTTTAACCATTCGGGAAACATGCTAATGAAAAATGAATTCGGGAAACATGCTAATGAAAAATGAGGAACTTGCGGTTTGAAGTTTTCACTTAGAACTCAGCCTTATTGATAGAACGTACGAACGACATGATAATTTCGGAGCCCAACGTTCAGGCCTAGCATAAATATTTTATCCTATATTTTAAGCCATCATACTCATAATGTAATAGTAGTCTACAAACAATCAGAAAAAGAGCAGCTATGTTTGTTAAGAAAAGAAACCAAGTTTTCTGTAGAACATGCATGGCAAATGTCATCTTGGGAGACTTGTTCGAAAACATAGCCCAAAAAGACAATATGATACCGTGAGGTTATAGGACGGCCTTCAATCTTATTTAGATGTGTGTTAATTGGGGTATGTTTGTTGGTACAATTCCAGCTCCAGCTCCAGTTCTCTTGAAGCTGAAGCTTAGCCAAACAGTTTCAGTTCCACATCTCTTGAAGCTGAAGCTTAGTCAAACAGTTTCAGCTCCACCTAAAATAGGAGCAAAGTTAGATGGAACATTATCACAAAATAAACTAGAGATAGCTAGGCTGCTCCACACAACTTCACTTCATATCTAACTTCTTAAGCTAAATTTAAGAGTTGAAATTCTCCCCGATAGATTATTAGTACGTACCCATGTAAGTCTGTATATGATGAGCGTGCATGCAGGATGTGTGTGAGCCTGTGTACGTCCAAATTATACTTAAAAAAATAAAATAAAAAAGTTGAAAAAAAAAGGTGCTTGAAGCAATCCACCTACGTTCAGAGTCCACTAGGCATCCATCTCTCGCTCCACCACAGGAGAGAAAGGGACCGGGAGAGAGAGCTCTTCTTGCGGAGTTGCCCGGTAGCTATAGCAGCTAGCTGATCGATCCTTTCGTCACACCAACCGCGTACGCGCCTCAGCTCGCACGTACGCGGTAGCGCTCATTGAGGCCATTGCAGGGGGCTCTTATTTGAGGAGGTTCAGTTTGACCGAGACAAAAGCGTTAGGTAGCCAACCCAAACGCATTTGATTTGGATTAATTGTGAATGTGTGAATTCGCCCGCGGCGTACGCGTTTCCGAAAATAATTGTCGATCACTCGCCATTGTTTGAAGCTATAGCCATGGATGGTGAGATTCTGAATTGTTGCTCTTGTCAAGCCATGAATTTCTCTGTTACTTTCGGGAACGGAAGATGCTTCGCTAGGTGGTAACTAACCTGACACCGATCGATCTGATTACCCGGCACTTGTTTACGCGGTTTTCAGTACTGTGCGCGGGGAAAGATCAGAGTTCAGAGCAGAAAGAAATAAGAATTCACGAAGGGTTCCATTGATTTACACAGAAAATTTTGGTCGTGGTATGAGAGCATTGCTTGCTGTTGAGGCATCGCCACATGGACTGTCAACTTTTCAAAACGCGTTTACACAGCTACTTCCGCGAAGTAGTAAAGGGAGCAGAGACAGGCAGAATCCGAACATGTATATTTCATTACAACATCTTTACGTATAGTGCTTCTGTTTTATATTATAAGTCTTTTAGCCTTTTTTAATCACTTTCTTTTCAAATTTTACCAAGTTTATAAAAAAATAATACGAAGTAGTATTCTAACCCAAAACAAATATATAATTAAAATATCTTTAATATTAGATTTAATAAAACTAATTTGATATTTTGTATCTTGGTAACTTTCTATAAACTTAATTAAACATAACTAAGTTTGATTACGAAAAAGTCAAACAACTTATAATATAAAACGGAGGGAATAGCAAACAATTTTATTTAATGTGACTGTTATCCCGTAGGTAGTTTAGTTGTAGTGTCGGAAGGTTTAATTAACGGGTAATTAAGGCATAAGAGGTATTCATATCCTACCTTAATATAAAGCTGATATTCACTAACTCTTAAAGCTTAAAATGTAAGTGTGTCATATCGTTACCTACTATTAATTATACTCTTAAAGCTTAACATGCAACTGTGTCACATCATCACCTACTATTAATTATTATCCAGAGTATTTTAAATGACATGCAATTATGTCACATCATCATCTACTAGAAATTATTATATAGAATATTTTAAATATCATGCAAATATGACATATTATTTACAATTTTGTTCTATATTTAGAACTCAATATGTAAGCAATGTCAAATCATTATCTCTACATCATTTTCACATTATTTAAACATATACATCTACCATTTTCTATAATGCATAATCTGCATTCATCCACATATCTCGCAGCAAAGTGCGGGGTATCAATTAGTTAGTGTAAAAATTTGTTACATCAGGTTATTAGATATCTCCAGTATCTAGGTATAAACTTTTGATATTTGCAGATACTTTTTTAAGGAGCATATTTTTTTTTCTTAATTAACCGGGGATAGGATGATATCATGTTGGAAACTCCGCTAGAGAGTAGTGTGTTTTAGCTGCTATGTTCACGTTTCTAGTAATAGAAGGTGGTGTAGGATCGAAACACAAGAACTCAGCTAACAGAGGGGAGGTGAATGGTTGGTATACCCAAAACCAAAACTTTTAGCGGAAATAAAAGTTACCCTCAAATTCGACGGATCACGGTCTGACCGAAGATGTTACGCCGGTCTGACTGCCCAGATGCCTTTGGTCTGACCGAGGTAGAAACTTCGGTCGAACCGTCTAGATCAGCAGATGCCGCCTGTAGCCGCCGCCGGTCTAACCGTACGTATGCCGCCGGTAACTCGCCGGTTAGACCGCCGAATCCGAGCAAACACAAATCGAAGAACTCTCAAAGTAGATGACAAGTAGATGACAACTTTATTACTTCTCTGTGTGTTTACAAAGTGCAACAATAGCACTCCTCACGAAAATTTCGACTAAACTCGAAACCCTAACTAAACTGTCAACTCAATGCTCTCAAAAGCGATACCGGGAAGCCTCAAGCTCCCTCTCTATTTATACATGAGGTAGGCAGCCTATAGACACGAACCAAACTCATACTAGAAGTCCTAATCCATCTAAGAAACCTTCCCGTACAAGAAACAAATTTACAAACTCCAAACATACCAAATTTGGACTCCTTCCAAATTCGACTCCGCATCACATACGCACACAATATCTCCATCGTATGCCATATGGAATCTTCACCAACCACGTGCATTGAACTCTAGCCTAAGTATCCTGCAAGATATCTGACCATCACGGACGTCGCCTTATCCCCAAGTCAACTCGCGATCCATCACCAGCAATACTCTCCCGAGGCATCAAGTCACCTACACATGAATCAAACAAAGAAACCATATTCCGAGACCAAGCTATCTCCAACTTGACTCATTGTTAGCAAACAACAATATTACGTACGCATAGTATGCATCTAGAAGCCATAAACATGAAACAATCACGGATATCCAAACAAACAACCCGAAACCGAAACCGACACAGAGTCGGCCAGTCAGACCGTAGGCTGAGCCGGTCTGACCGCGCGATACACGCCGGTCTGACCGGCAACCACTACCCGGTCTGACCGGTCCTGACAAAAACAGTAACCCTGTTCATCACTTGAAAAATCAATCATCTCTAAAACCACTTCGTCAATAATCTCCAAATATCAAAACCAATAATCACAAATGCTAATTGTTCATCACAGAATAACAATTAAAAACACTTTGATTGTACAGGTGGGAGCTATTGCTTCTCTTTTTCTAAAAATACAATTTTTTCAATTCATGCAGATAAAAGAACTATTGTATTCAAAAGGTGCCATTTCTGTGCGTTCCCTTTTTTAATCTTGTCTAAAAATACTTTTTAGAGTTTGATTCTAATTGGCACCCAAATAGAAAACAACGAAGTCCAATTATTGAGGATCACGTTCAACTAGAAATAAGACAAGATGCATTTCGTTCAATTCTAGGGAACCTGCAGACGGCTTCTATCAGCTTACAAATTGTAGAAACTAATAGGAGTACAATTTATTATATCAATTAGTTCCCGATTGAAATAGCACTAGTATTTTTCTCTTTTCTTGGACATATGGACTCAGCAGCCACCCTCTGTTTGGAATCCTATGTAAGCCTCTCTTGGGCCTTAGTTGGGCCCACCGTTTCTTCCAACAGATGTTAGCCCAAGGCCCAACTACCCAAAGGCCATAGCCCACCAAGATGTTCTGCTTCCGCGCTACGGGGCTCCTCGCCCTCACGCCCCCCGCCACTGCCAGGCTGCCACCACGTCTCTCCCTGCGCCGCCTCGTGGCCTCGTCGCCGTCGGCACTCGGCCGTCGCCCTCCCGTACGAGGAATACCTTGCTCCCTCTCTCTCTCTGTCCCTGTGTCCTGCACGAGGTCATTTAGGTTTGTGGGGGTAGAAAGTGGATCGTCGAGATGGGGAGTGCGGGCATTCGTCCTGTTAAACTTCCAATCGAAAATTGACGCCAAAATCTGATGCCACGACTAATCCGATCCTGAATGAAGTTGAATCGCAGCAGCAACTGTGTTGGTGCTGTGAATCGCCCCCAACTGCATCTCAAATCTGCCACGGGAATGAGCAATGGAGGAGCACAGCAGGCTAGAAAATATTGGTATGATAAGATTGCATGCAAATATCAGCACAGTAGTTTAATTTCTCCCAATAGGATACAGGAGAGCAATGGAAACTTCCTGATCTGATGCTGGAGCACACTTATCCAGGCTTCAGTCGTAGTTGGCATTATTACAACAAAATAGCACTGTAATTGCAGTATATTATTTCTAAATCAACACATCCCGTAAAGTATATAGTACATAGTAATTAATAAAATGATACATTCACTGGCCTTAAGCAAATCCTCCTAATACGTGAGACCAAGAAAACATTTTTGACATATTTAGCAGTATATTTGTAGGTGATATCATGTTACAAAAATTAGAATGTAGTCAAATACAGTCTCTTTACCAGATAGAAGACTCCTAAATTGTTCAACCGGTTTTCATCAACTGAAACAAGCAACTCCACCACACTTTCCATGGTAGGTCTTTTCCCTCTGTCTTCCTCCAGACATGAAACAACAAGCTCCATCATCGCTCTTGCTTGCAAGTTGTTGATTGGCCATTTAATCTGAAGTCAATGAAGTCTGGAATCCATGATTGTTCATCCCCATCAGACTTCGAATTCTCCGCTAGCATCCTAATGATTCTTCCGAGAACCATTTCCACCTCCTCATCTTTGTTTGTTTCAAGGTCAGCAACACGAGCTCCTTTTAGTAGTTCTAGAAGCACCACTCCAAAGCTGTACACATCAACCTTTGCTGTTATCGGAAGACTAGAAACCCATTCAGACGCTAAATAGCCTCTAGTTCCTTGGATCCTCGACACATTTAAATTAGATCCACCTCTATTTAGCAGCTTTGCAAGGCCAAAGTCAGCAATCTTTGGCTCCAAATTCTCATCCAGCAGTATATTTTCTGGTTTTACATCACAATGGATGACCCACTCCAAGCACTCATGATGAAGATACGCCAACCCCTTAGCGACCTCTAGAGCAATGTTAAATCTTTGCTTCCATTCAAGTAATGCCTGTGATCCCTGACCACCAAACAATATTTTATCCAACGAGTCATTGTCCACGTATTCTGAAACCAGTATCCTGTGTGGATCATCAGAATAGAATCCCCAAACCCTCACTAGGTTCATGTGGTAGATTCTGCCAATCATACTCAGTTCATGCTTGATTCTTCTTCCCCTTGATGTATGTCTACCAGCATTTTCACAGCAACTTCTCTCCTGTCTGTCAAGATCCCCTTGTACACGATGCCTGATGCCCCCCTTCCAATTTCATCCTGAAACTTTCTAGAAGATGTCACTAGCTCTCTTAGGTATACCTCCGGAAATGGTTGGTTATCATTTCTTAGCCAGATTCAGCTGGCCATACTCCTCTTAATTGTCTGCCCTCCCTTAGCAAAATAAGCCACCCGAACAATATGAATGTTAGCTCTGCAAGAAATATTGCTGATAAGAAACCATAGAAGTACAAATACTTTGATTGACTCTGACTGCCCTTAAGCACATCCAAGAAATCTGCTATGAAATATTCGCTTGTTTTGCTACAGTCAGGAGTGTATTTAGGTCCATAAAATTGTGACTAGGGAATTGGCTCTGCCACTTCTAGGTCCTCAGGTAGCTTTAGATTGATACTACCAGTACCATGTGGTTGGCTTACACCACCAAGAAGAATAGCCTTAGGATAGCAATCCCCAATTCCTTGCCAGTATGCGAATCCATTACACTTGCAGTCACTCAAGCATATGTTCTTGCAGGTGTCAAGAGAAACAAAACGGTGAACACTTATATTGCAAGCCCTAAGAAATTAGTGTTCCGAAGGTGAACAAATTTTACTTTATGCCTATCACACGTTATATTTATCTTTGCAGTACATCCTTTGCTCCGGTCACTTGGGTCGAGAAAATCATATCCAGGGAGACACACACATGCAGGCCGGCTTAGGAGTATACACACATATTCCATTCCTGCCACACAAACTATGCACATTGCAGAGCTGAGGAAATGCTATCCATGTCACTGACCATGTTCCATCATTCATTAGAC